ATTTTTCATATGAGAAAATGGAGGTTCAGAGAGTTTTAGTGACTTGTCCTCATATCTGCTTTTCCACACTGTCAGTCCTGCTGTTGGGTGCTGAGAAGTCTCCCAAAACTGTGGGGTGGGTTGGGGAAGACAGCATGCTTCTGATCAAGGTTCCTTCCTCCCTGGGAGCTTAGGAAACAAGGCTGCCTGTTGTTACCAGGGAATGATTAGTCTGCATCTGTGGGGGGCTTGTCACTGTCTCTGCCCTGAGTCATCCATTTACACCTCTCTGTGAGTGACACAGACCTTTCCTGGTGTTGATTAACAGCGGGCCATGTTAGCATCTGTTCTCAGCTGCCCTGCCTAATGCTCACCCTGCGTGGGGCTCAGGCTCTCTTGGCCAAATGGGAGCCAGGTGATGTATTTGCACTTGACCAATCAAGTAATGAGGAAATGGCAGCCTCACCCAGCCTCGTGAGGTCTGTCTGACTCAGTTTTGAAACTGGTATTATCAGACAGAAAGAAGTAGGATGTCAGAGCTAAAGAGGGGCTTGGAGAACATCTTCAACAATGTCTAGACTTAAGGAGTGCAGAAGCAGGCACAGAGAGGCCAAAGAAGAGCCAGACTAAGCATCAGCTCAGTATCTGCCATACAGTAGGTGCTCAAATATTTGTTGAGTGAACAAATGATGACTAAGTATGCAGTGGGTTTTAGAGTATGCAAAACACATTTTTAGGCTTCATACCATTGTACCGTCACAATAATCTGTTCAATGAGGTTGTGAGAGAGACCAATGTTGTTCCAATTTTACATATGAGGAGACAGAGGTACTTTGTTATGGCAGCCCAAAAGAGTAAAGTAATGTGCTTCCTCCTTCCATTCTACACGGATTGGGGCTAACGTGGGCCACAAGCACAGGCTGAGAGTCAGGCTCTGGAAGGTACACAAAGAACATACAGACTGCCCTTCCAGGTCGTCCTCCTCTAAGACACAGGGGAACGGGACACAGATTCCCCACCTTTACCTTTACAAGAGCTCTGTCCTGCCCAAGGACACAGAACAAGTTAAGGAAGCTTAACTGTGATGGGTGAGAGACTAGGACAGAGCAGGCCGATCTGAGTGCAGTCCCTGGCATCCCTGCATCCTGTCTGTATGAAACAGAGCAAGGGACTTATCTTCCCTGAGACCCACTTTCTCCAGCTACACAATAGCAGCAAGACTGTAGACCTCATGGGGCTGTTTAACGGTGAAGGAAGTAGCATGCATAAAGAACCGAGCACAGTTGTTGGCCCATCGATGTGTAAGATGATGTCGGTGATGATGTTGTTGTCTGACAAAGGTGGGACTTGCACCCAGATGTCCTGATTGCCCAGTGTGAGGCTCATCACCCACCCCACCTCTGCCCAGTGCTATTCCATTAATCCCTTTGCCTCTTGCTTTTGAGGCAGCTCTAACAACCAACAAACCCCAAACCCTAGACTCAGCAGCAGGAATGAGGTCCCAGATTTAAGAAAACACCAGCATCTGCCTTAAGCTCTTTCTCTCTCTGCATCCAGATTCTTCATTTCCTTACTTGACACAATCACTTCTCTTGACTTAGTAAGGGGCACTACATCAGGTCTTGGTTTTTGAAGTAATGCTCCCCCCACATAACCGATGTTTATGCAGAATCAATCCTTTTCCAACCAAACAGCACCACTACATGTGTAGCCTGAGCTGTCTCTGGGATCCACTGGAAGTTGCCCTTTTTAGCTCGTTTCTCTCCTCTGTCTCTGCTGCCTTGTGCCATTCTCTGTCTCTGTTGAATGTGTGTTCTTTTCCACTCAGTCTTTCTCTTCAATTTCCTAGTCTGTCCTCTCTCTCTTTCCCACTCTCATCTTTCTTGTGTTTCCTCTCTCCCTCTCCTCCATCCCCTCCCTTCATCCCCCCTTCTGTCCTCTCCTAGCCCCCACACATGTACAGTTTTTTTGTTGTTTACCTTGATGCTTTATCCTTCTCCTTTGATCTCTATTTGTTACTCCTGCTTGTCCCTCCTTCTTCCTCCTGTTTGATCTCCATTATTTTCTTTTATCTTCTCTGCCTCTAGCTTCCTGTCTTTTAATCTCCACATATATATGAGACTCCTCCATGTCTTTTTCTCTGTCTCTAGCTATCATCATTGTATCTATATAGGCATCTGTGTACATATTGTCTATCAAACACCTCTCTATCTATCCATCCATCTGTCTTTCTACTTCAGGATGATTCTGTGCATCTCTGCCTCTTCTCAGTTACACTCTTTTTGTTTCTAGCATTTTCTCTACGTGTTTTTTCCTTGCTCTCTCATTTTCTCAAATCATCCCTCCCTATCTCTTCATCTCCTCCACTCTCCATTTCTTCATCTCCCTCTAAGAGTGTTAATATTTGAATAGCCTTAATGTCTTTTCAGGATCCTCAGCTCTTGCCATAACTCAAAAGTGGCAAGTCTCCCAGGAGCTTCATTTCAGGAACTGCTCATTCTCTCTCCCCCAAACACCTGCCACCCTGACTTCACTCAGCATGAAGTTAGGAAGCCATGGTGGTGGGAGGGGCCAACAAACAGGGAGATGAAAGGAGAAAGATGAAGCATCAAGTTAAAGACAAAAGAACTTTGTACATGTATGGGAGCAAGAAGAGAGACTTTGTCTCTGTACTCCACCCTGAACACAGAAGGCTTGAGATGGGAACGCAGAGTTGGGGAGAAGATATCCTATAGGTGGAACAACAACACTATCTTGGTGGAACTACTTACTGCCTTCCCATGTTTCTTTGTTTCATTTGAAAAATATTTACATAGCAAGTATTCTACCTAGGTTCTGTACAGGGGGGTAAAGAAGGGTAGTAAATCTTGAGGCCTGCCTTCCAAAACCTTACAGTCCCTCTGAGAGACCCTAGTCCTGATGATTGACATCAATATGATTGAAGGGATGCATTTGGACAGAGTTCTGAATGATTCCTAGGATTTCATTACATAGAAAAGTTGGAGATGAACATACCCGACAGAGGGAAGAACATGAGTGAAAATTAAGAGAGAGGAAGATTCATACTGTACCCAGATCCCTTCTTCAGTTCTGAGTAGCAGTAGCAGGTGACTCACAGCTTCAGCCATCACTGTCAGTTGCCTTCAATCACAGGGAACCTCCCCCTCCTAGAAAGTAGCCCTGGGCCCATCAATGACTGGTTGATGTAGGGATGCAAAGGGCCGAATCCCTTGTTTCAATTCAGGATGTTCCTGAAGGGCCACCCCATGCCCAGAACTCCCACAGGATCAACAGAGGCTTTGGATCCAACCACATTGCAGGTCAACATCTTCTTTTGCCCAGTCCTATCTTACTGTAGGTATAGATAGCTTCCAAGAGAACTCTCCAATAAGGCCCCTGCATGCAATTCTCCATCTCAAGAGTATGTTTCTAGGGAACTTAAACCAAGATTGTGTTTTCAGAGGCCTGTGGTTAGTAGATAGAGAGTATGAGGACAAGATAGATTTACCTGGATGGATAGGTGAAGACCATATTATGAAGAGCTTTGAATGCCAAGGTAACTAATTTAGATTTTCTGCTATAAGTAATGGGAACCTACTTAGCAGAGGAATATCTGGTCCCAGCTGGGACTTTTGCCAAGTTCACTGGCAATCAGTATGAAAGATGGGTCAGTAAGGGTTAATGTGGGAAGTAGGAAATGAACTAGGAGACCCAACCTAGAGCTCCAAGCCTGAGGAGGGAAAAGTAGGAGAAAGGGTGACAGATGGTCCAGAGACACCACAAATGGCCTTTTCCAACTACCTATGCTTACACTGCTCGTTCTCTCAGGGCTCTGGACTCCATTAGACACACGTCATGGAAGAACATAGAGTCTCTTCCAACTGCTTGTGATCCTGGCACTCCCTTAATATCTGCTGCAACCATGGACATCAGTGATGCCCCTGTATTAGGATATCCCAGGAGCCCTACTGGTGCGACAGTTAAGTGCTTGGCTGCTAATCTCAATGCTGGCAGTTTGAACCCACTCAGCAGCTCCACTGAAGAAAGCCCTGGTGATCTGCTTCCATAAAGATTACAGCCTAGAAAACCCTATGGGGCAGTTCTACTCTGTCACACGGAATGGCTATGAGTCAAAAATTGACTCAACAGCACCTGCAACAACAATGACTCCAAAAACCAACATCTACAAACTTCCCACGGTAGCTCCCATCTTAGAGAATTTTTGACAGACCCATGGATTGCGGTGTCTAGTCTAGTCCTGTCTTTTGAGAACTTCATTTTGGAGGTATCATGCATTTGCCTGGGATCCCATGACCTGTCTGATGCTTGTTGTTACCATTCTTGATGGTATGACTTGTATGAGGGCATCTGAAAAATAGTGTATTAAGGTCAGGAAGTCCTGTGTTTGTATGTGCTGTTTATATACCATGATTTGAGTTAAGTGTGTGATTTGGAGTATTTCCACAAACTTTTATAACTTCAATTTTATATCATAAAGTGGGAATAGTAGGAATGTGCCCATTTATCAGGTTGCTATGGGGAGCTCTGAAATCTGGAGAAAGAGATATAAAGCAAGTTAAGAATTGTGCAGTGGGAAGAGCTTTATGTTTGGACTCAGGAACAAAGTTTGGTACAAACTTTGGGTCCTCTCCATTACAATCTGGATGACTTTCAGCAAGACACTTTAACGTTCTATGAATCACAGTTCACTCATTGGCAAAGTGAAAACCTCATACCTACCTTCCAGAGTGATGAGAATAAATGAAATAAAGGATATAAAGTTCTAAGACCATTTCTCTTTATCAAAACTACACTCAAGCACTGTATCAAGTGATAGTGTACCTACTGGTGATTTATTTTTATTTATTTTCTTATTATTCTTAAATATTTATGTATTGGTTTCCTGGTTATAAATATAAGAAATCATGGCTTCAAATATAATTAATGCATATTATTATTATTTTTTAAAAATCTAATGATGCCGATTTCTTTGGATTTTAATCATCCCCTTTCTCTCCAAGGGAAGAAGCGATGCTGTCCACGTACTTTGAAACCATCAATGACCTGCTGTCCTCCTTTGGGCCAGTTCGTGACTGCTCTCGGAACAACGGGGGCTGCACTCGCAACTTCAAGTGTGTGTCTGACCGCCAGGTGGACTCTTCAGGATGTGTGGTGAGTGCTCGTTAGCCAGTTGTTGGCCCAGGTACCAAGGACATTTGCTGGAGTCCCCTCACTGTGAGGGAGGAGCTGGTCAAGGAGGAAGCACTGTTCATACTTTCCGGTCTGTGTGGCCTTCAGCAAATAAGTCTGGGATAATTAAACTACCTCATGGAATTGTTGGAAGAATGAAATGAGGTGTTAGAGACTCAGCTCAGCATAAAATAGATCCTGGAGAGCCCCAGGCCTCAGGAAGCTTACAGTCCACATGGGAGTGGCATGTCTTCCCTTTGTGAACACAGTGAAGTAGATGCCAATGAGATGCATATAGTACAGACAGTATGTGCTTTGCTGTGGACCAGAAGAGAACATTTCATGGAAGCCTTCCTGAAAGAGCCACTTTGGGAACTGCCCCAAAAAGATGGGCCAACTTAAATTATGGAGTGATGGCTCAGGGAAAGTGTAGAGGGGAGGGAGAGACAGCTCTTGTTTGCAGGGGGTTTTAGTATCAAATGTGAAATAAGGACACTTAAGAAGATCTGTGAGGCTCCCTGTTGCCTGCAGCAGAAGTCTCAGATATGACAGTTTGTGTTATACGAATTGCCTAGGGTGTTTGCTTAAAATGCAGATTCCACAGTTCTACCCTTACAAGTTTTAATTCTATAGAAGAAGATGAGTTTCAGAAACCTACATTTTCAGCTTGTGTGTGTGTGTGTGTGTGTGTGTATTGGGGTGTGTTAGAAGCACACTTGAGAAACATTGCCCTACGGACTTAACTCCTTAGCCTGGAATTTGGTGCCTTTCTTGATTTGTTCCTTTCCTGCCTCTCCACTCACATCTCTCACTACTTCATTTTACAGCAGTTAAATGATGCTAATTGGATGCAGTTCCCTGAACATGCTTACCTAGTTAATATCTCAGGACCTTTTTCCCATGCCATTCCTTCTGTCTATAACAATCTGCTCTCCAGCTCATGTTGCAGACAAATGGACATACTTCCAGATGTCTCTCCTTTTGAAACTTTTCCCTTTGGAGAAGTGGCTATGCCATTCTAGGGATCATCACTGTTTTCTGTACCCACATCTATATTACCTGTAACACTTTATAGTACAGACTGATTTTCAAATTTATATCTCCTAAATAAACTGAGGGAGAACCCAGGGGCTTTGTTGATTCAGCTCAGTTACCCCCAACAGTACCTATCTCAGTATCAGTAAGTGAGGAACAAAGAAAGAAGGACTGGGAGAGAGATGGGGTAAGGATCTGTGAATGAGATCTGAGGGACAGAATAAGCAGTCTGCCTTTAAAGCACCTGCACACCAGCAGGAGAAATAGACAAAGGCTAGGAGACCAATACAAAGAAGCTTCTAGAATAGGAGGAGATAAAATGAGATTGCATTTTAGATTCAAAGATAAACAGATACCTAGAGGTGGATAAGTAATTGCAAATTTCATTGATTAGGATTCTTTGGGTTACAAGGGACAGAAGCTCAACTCAAATTACTTTAAGCAAAAAGAAGAAACATAATAGCTTAAATAACTGAGGAATTCCAGGCACAGTTGGATTGAGGGGCTCAAAAATGTCATTGATACCCTTCTCTTCTAAGTTCTGCTTTCCTTAGCACAATGTCATTCTCAGGCCAGCACAACATCTTAAGAGGACAAGGAAACCTCTTTCCTTGACCATCCAACCAAAGCTCAAAGGACTCCAGATTATTGGACCAGCTTAGTTCACATGCCCACTCCTGTACCAATCACTGAGGTCAGGGGAATGGGCTGGCCCTATCCCAAAACTAATCATGCCTGGAGCTTGGGCCAAGAGTTAGGTGCACCTCAAGCCCATTGCACTGAGCTGAAGAAGGCAGATTCCTAAGGAAAAGGAGGGTTAAGCAACGGGAAAAGGAGTTGTTGATGTTGGGTTGCTACATGTCAGGAGCTGTCTATTTCAGAATATTGTGTCTCACCCCTTCATTTCTCATATTGGAAAATTGAGGTCCAGTGAAGAAGAGGTGACCTTGTCCAAGTCATACTGCTAGTCGGGGCCTAACAGAACTCAAAAATATATCTCAAATCAGTGATGTCTCTAAAACTGGAGGCTGACTTTTCTGAAAGGATTAAGTCATCTGCTTCTTTGCTCTTTTTCCATCAATTCTCTTTCCTCAACTAATTATACTCCTTATCCTTGAGGAGCTTAGTGTCTCAGAAGAATGAAACTTCAGAATGCTGAGAGAGAGAGAGAGTGCAGGCAGGGGTCTCTCTCCCCCTCATTAATATAAACTGGAAAAAAAGTTTAAAAAAATAAAAAACACAGGAAGAGAGAGCAAGAACATTATTTCCCTGGAGGTTAAGGGAGAATTCAACAATCTGATGAGGTTGTCAAAAACCTTCCTCTCCAGATTAAGGGTCTAATGTTAAAGCTGTGACTCCAGGGTCTGGTGGATATAAGACAGGCTCTTCTCCATGCCTTCAGAACAGACAGGATAATACCTACTTCTACACTGAGATTTAAAACCTTTTTTATTTCTCTGTAAATGTTCCATCATGCCTGCAAAGAGCAGCTTTGGTCTCATACACCTCCCCCAACAACCCCATCTGGTATAAAAATAATAATACTTTGTTTTTTCCCAAAATTTTAGAGTTCTCAAAGCATATCCAGTAACTCACCTGCACAACCCTGAATGAGAGATTCCCTTACTGATGTGGAAATGAGGCTTAGAAAACAGAGTGACTTTCCAAGGTCTCATAGCCAGGTGACAGGAGGGAGGACCAAGACCATGTCTTGTCTTCAATATCATTCTTAACTTCCAGGACCGTTTTGGGTTACTTTCCCATGGACCTGAGACAAAATGATAGAATGGAACCATGGAAGGAAGCTGGCTTGAGTTCATTTGGGCTTAAGTTCTGGTCATTGACTGGCTTTTGTATCTACATTGACCTCACTGGCCTCAGTTTCTCAATCTTTCAATAGGGAACAATAGCGCCTTAAATTCACAAGTTTTCTGAAAATCTAAGAATATGATTGGCAATGATTTCAGATCTATAAAGTGCCATTTATATGTGAGATGATTAAATCAAAACTACTGATGTTATTGTGTTGTTGTTGTTGTTGTTGTTATGTGCCGTCGAGTCAGCCCTGACTCAAAGCGACCCCTCCTTGGGTTTCCGAGGCAGTATCACTACGGAAGTAGGATTGCCCAACCTTCCTTCCGAGGAGTGGCTGGTGGGTAGTGGATATGATATGTGGGGGCCACATAATTTCAGAGGCACAACCTATCTACTTTTCTATAATGTTTCTATAAATTAATTTTGTTTCGGTTCTGCTCCATCCACTGGTAGGGAAAACTAATTCTTGTCATAGTAGGTTTTCTACCTCCCACCTCTTGCTGAACATTAAGTTCGAGGGATAAGGGAGTGACTGGTGATGAGCCTTCATCTCTCAGTTCTGGCACCTCCTGTCTTATCTGGTCCATGGCCATCACTCTCCTTTTCTGGCATTATCAGTGTTTACACCTTCTATCTAGACCTCACTTCAGAAGCTTCCCACTCCCTAAAACAATTTGCCTTTTTTTTTTCTGTTTGGTTTTCTGGTTGTGCTATGGTAATCTTTTCCTAAATAATACAGGCCTCAGGTGTAGTTGCCTACATTAGGGAGGGCCATAGGATATGTGGTAGGAAGAATAATGCCCACCTCCCAGTGATGTCCACATCCTAATTCCTAGAACTTGCAAATATAGTATGGTACCTTACACAGCAAGTTGGAAATGGAATTAAGATTGTTAGTCATCTGACCTTACAAGAGAGATGCTCTTGGATTATCAAGGTGGGCCCAATGTAATTGTCCAATCCCAAAACCAAACCCATTGCTGTTGAGTCAATTCCAACTCATAATGACCCTACTGACAGAGTAGAGCTGCCATATAGGGTTTCCAAGGTTGAAAATCTTTATGGAAGTAGACTGCCACAGCTTTCTCCTGTGGAGTGGTTGGACCTTTCGGTTAGCAGCCAGGCATTTTAACCACTGCACCACTCGATGTAATCATAAAACCAAAACAAAGACAAACACAGCCATCAAGTCAATTCCAACTCATAGTGTCCTCCATTGGATTTCCAAGTCTGTAAATCTTTATGGAAGTAGATTGCTTCATCTTCCTCCCACAGAGTAACTTGTGGACTTGAACCACTGACCTTCAGGTTAGTAACCAAATGTCTTACCCACTACACCAGCAGGGTCCTTAAATGTGGAAGAGGGAGTCAGAAGAAGAGGCTAGAGAGATGCAACATTACTAGCTTTTAAGGTGGAAGAAGTGGGCCACAGGCCAAGGTGTAGCTCTGGAAGTAATCTTCAAATCTGAAAAACTAAACCCATTGCTGTGGAGTTGGTTTCAACTCATAGTGACACTATAGGGCAGAGTAGATCTGCCCCATAGGGTTTCCAAGGCTGTAATCTTTGCAGAAGCATGCTGCCACATCATTCTCCCATTGAGCTGATGGGCCCAAACCACCAGTCTTTCACTTAGCAGCTGAGTGCTTAACTATGCACCGTGAGGACTCCTTAAATAGGCAGTCTTTAGAAGCTGGAAAGGGCAAAGAAATGTTTTCAACGTTAGAGCCTCCAGAAAGGAGCATAGGCTTGCCAATACTTTGATTTTAGCCCAGTATGACCAGTGTGTTGGACTTATAATCCATAGAACTGTAAGATAACAAATTTATATTGTTTTAAACCACTAAATTTGTGATAATTTTTTACAACAGCAATGGAAATGTAATACAAGGTGAAAGATAATATGGGGGGGAGTGTTATACTGTTGTTGTTGCTGTTGGGTGTCATCGAGTCATTTCCCACTCATAGCTACCCTATGCACAGCAGAATGAAACACTGCCCAATCCCACGCCAGCTCCATGATCCTTGCTATACTTGAGTCCATCATTGCAACCACTGTGTCATTCCGTCTCATTGAAGGCCTTCCCCCCTTTTGTCGACCCTCCAACTTACCAAACATGACATCCTTCTCCAG